ACACACACACACACACACTGACCTGTGTTTTGCTGTGAGTCGCCGCCGCCGCTCGATCCGCTCGACCCTCCGCTGCGCAGGGAGCCGGTGGCACTGGTACTGCGCTGCAGCCGCTCCGTACGACGCTGGCCCGTGTTCGTGTTGCTCGTGATGTCCGGCGGAGGCTGCGAGAGCGTCGCTGCAATGTACAGACAGAAGAGGGATGCAACAGCGACAACACACAACAATGAAGCCACACTACACACCCTGTATGCGACAGCGTCGCTGCAACACACACACAGAAGAGGGATGTAACAGCATCAACATACAACAATAAAGCCATGCTACACACCCTGTATGCGAGAGCGTCGCTGCAACATACAGACAGAAGAGATGTAACAGCGTTACCACACAACAATGAAGCTACGCTACACACCCTGTATGCGAGAGCGTCGCTGCAATATACAGAGAAGAGAGATGTAACAGCGTTAAATGCATGAGAATGAAGCCATGCTACACACTCAGTTCACTCAGCTGCAACGCACGGAAGAGATGCAACAGCGTTGAAAGCACGATGACGCTTCATGGACAGGTTTCCCTTAAAATACTGTATTCCTTGATGCTAGGAGTGTGACCAACATAGAAAAGAGATGTTACTGCGTCAAACGCATGATGAGGATGATGTGACACTATGCACCCTGTACGGCTGTATGCTTCATGGAAAGGTCTCCCTCCAACAACCGTATAGTTTCCCTTGAAGGACCATACTCTTCCATGCTACGACTGTATTCGTCCCCCAAGGACTTTACTTTCCCATGCTAGAAGCGCTAGTGCAGTCTCTTCTATGCTAGGAGTGTAGTCTTACCTCAAAAACTATACTCTTCTATGCTCGGAGTGTAGTCTTCCCTCAAAAACTATACACTTACATGCTAGGAGTGTACTCTACCCTCAAGGACCATGGGAGTCCCTTCTTGAACTTTATATTAAAACTTAGAGGCAAACGGTAATAATAGGCCTAGCTTAAATAATAGTCCTTGTCCATGCAGACAATTGCCATGAGTTTAAAAACTTTGTTCACGAGCCAGCACTGACAATGAATCGATTGCGGGAAGCTATTCAACAAGTGATTGTAAAGTTTTGATGTAAGCTCTGCTCAATATAGCACCTAAGTAACCCTATCCATGTAGTTTCAGTGGTTGACCTTCCAAGGACACTAAGATGGACAACTGCCATTACAGTCCGGACCGCTCCCGATGTAACGTCATGATATCAGGGGTTAATAATGACAAATGACAATGACATTTGTCACTATTTACCCCTAATGATATCTATATATATATTATGTCATCTGTGAGGCAAGATACCTGGTTTATGTAAGGCAAGCATAAAGGCCTCCAGGAACAACTGACCTATCTGACCAAGCGATATAACAACGCTACCTATATTGTTGCTAGGTCAGTCAAGTTGCTATAGGCTGGACGTATTTTTCACGCACGCACGCTACTGATTTTTCGCGGCACTTCGATACTAAGAAGCATTTTAAGAATGTCGTTGTAAGAATGCGTTTTAGAATCACAATGCAGATTGGCTATAGAACTACCTGCCAATCACCTGAGGAGAGGTGGATAGGTAAATGGGCTCATTGTTTCTGTACAACACTTGCGTGCAGTCGCGCGCGCACTGCGTAAAATTGCAGATCGCTCGTAAAATCATGGCGTAAAACTCGAAACAAAAACACGTAATTTTTCGAGCGTTTCGAAAAATCGCGAATTGTAAATTAATCGTAAAATCACGGCGTAAAACTCGAAACAAAAACACGTAAATTTTTCGAGCGTTTCGAAAAATCGCGAATTGTAAATTAGTCGTAAAATCACGGCGTAAAACTCGAAACAAAAACACAAACAAGGAATTTTTCGAGCTTTCGATAAATCGCGCGGCGTTGCAGCGGCCGACCGCGCGCTTAAACGGCGCGGAAATATCATTGACAGATTACGAACAGGAAGTAATTGTCTCGCGATACGATTATTCCACTTGCTAACAGGATGCTGTCGTATCGGCTCTTTCAGCCGCAGTCAGTTGCCCTAGGCTAGAATTCCTAGCTAGCTAGTAGTATACACCTAACAGTCCCTACTCAAAATGAAAGTTCCTTAATTTTCGAATATTTAAACTGTCGGGAATTCCACAATTTCAGCACACACAGCGTGTCTTGCGTGTGATCTACACTTCCATACACTTTCGCGGCCGTTCCGTTACTGGATATATGAGAAACTGATTTAGGGCGGATTGACTGCTTTCACGCACGACAGCACGAAACAGTGAATTCCGTTTCAAAGCTAAAGTATACGCACGCACGCACGCACGCACGCACGCACGCACGCACGCACGCGCGCACGCAACACACACGACTGTGGAACTCCGCGAAGACAGGCGCTTTCACATTTAGAAAAAAAATCCTCTTGATAATTAAAGTGAAGGAAAAGCTTACCATGCACGAAGGCGCTTGCGTTTGACAAAACACTCGCAACTAACTAGAAACTGTGAAGGCAACACTCTGTTCTTTGATGTCATAAGACACCTGCTTAGAAGCATCAACCATGCGCCGGGCAGCGAACTGAAAGAACGATGGCGTTCACTGCCCATAACACACATGCTGCTGCGATGCTACCCCAGGCGTATATCCTCCCGTGTGTATAAGGCAGTCGGTATCTGACTCGATCTATCTGTAACTCTCCCTTGGTAACTCGCCCTGGCTCAATCCATCTGCAACCCCGCAGTCGTCACTATATGTAAACATTTATAATCGCACACCGATCCGTTTTCCTAGGTGTTTCTCAGGCCATACGTATCTCACTCTTTCGGATGTTGCGTGTTTAGACTGGTCTCTCACGCGCGCTGCCATTGCTGGGAGAACCCCCACTAATCACAGTCTATAGTATATATAAAACGTGGCAGCTATTTGGAATAGAGCAAGGGAAACGCT